GAGCCACCCAGGTGTCTCAAAATAAAGGATTTCTAATTGAAGGTCCATTTAGAAAATGCCCATGGGATCTGTGAGTGTGGCATTTCTGAAATGATGAGAAAAACTGATTTTGATGTCATCAACACCTGCTTGCAAAAGTGGCCTGATTGTGCTATAGGGACTAGGAGAAGTGGACCCTAACCATGGGTTACTGGATTCCATGGCAAGTTAACTAGTAACACATTTGTTGTGATGAGTCTCAATGGTGGTTCCTATGTTTCTGTGGGTAACAGAAGTGTGAATCTACAAATATATGTTATAAATCCCATTCCTTGATCCAAACTGAAAAGCAAACAAAATACGGGATGAGCTCAAGTTCTTCCTTCTGCTTTTTTGGAGTTATCTAAACTCCAGAAACAGTATTAATCTTATTAACTCAGATTCACAAACATTGTGGATAACCTATCACAGTCACAGATGATGTAATATTGAAGAATTCTTGCATCTGTAAAATGAACCCACTTGTCTGTTATGTACTATTTAAAAAATTTTTTTGAATGTTTATTTATTTTTGAGAGAGACAGAGAGAGAGACAGAGTGTGAGCAGGGGAGGGTCAGAGAGAGAGGGAATCACAGAATCCAAAGCAGGCTCCAGGCTCTGAGCTGTCAGCACACAGCCCAACATGGGGCCTGAACCCCACGAACTGTGAGATCATGACCTGAGCTGAAAGTCGGGCGCTCAACCGACTGAGCCACCCAGGTGCCCCACATTCTGTACTATTGTTTAATGTACTAAGGATTCAATGCTCAACCACAGAATTTTCCTTGAGATTTCATTTTGTATTTTTAAAAAATGATTATTTACTTTGAGAGAAGAGAATGTGCCTGCATGTGTGAGCAGTGGGAAGGGTCAGAGAGGGAGGAAGAGAGAGAATTCCAAACAGGCTCCGCACTGTCAGTGCAGAGCCTGAGGCAGGGCTTGATCCCATGAACCTTGACATCATGACATGAGCTGAAATCAAGACTCAGAAGCTTAATGGACTAAGGCACCCAGGCATCCCTCGTTGTGTATTCCACCTCTCTATCGATTATGTAGATTTTTCTGGAATCCTTCTATACTCATGAATATTGTACTGTTACCTTCCCAAACCAAGGAAAACTTTGTTGGGTATAGAATTTTTTATCTGTAGAAGCAGAATCCTATATGCCTCTTATTTGCCAAAATGACACATTCTTTTCCAGTTTGTAAGTTTTAGTTTCATCAGAACCGGCTTTTCCTATTCTGTGCTAATAAGAGAAATCCTATGCCAGGCTATGAGATTGCAGGCTCTTCTAAGTAGAAGCTGTTTATTAAGAGAAATTATGGGTATGAGGTTGGGAGAAAGGAGTTATTGCTGCAAATGCAAAAGAAGACAAAATTCTAAACTATAAAGCCTTTCAGAAGCTGCTTTTTGCAGACAATTAGAGATAGAAGGTGTTTACTGCAGTGTCAATCTCCTCTGACTGGCAGAAGAACTTGTGGGAAAATTTAAAAGAGCCACCTTTTTTTTTTTTTTTTTAAATTTTTTTTTTCAACGTTTATTTATTTTTGGGACAGAGAGAGGCAGAGCATGAACGGGGGAGGGGCAGAGAGAGAGGGAGACACAGAATCAGAAACAGGCTCCAGGCTCTGAGGCATCAGCCCAGAGCCTGACGCGGGGCTCGAACTCACGGACCGCGAGATCGTGACCTGGCTGAAGTCGGACGCTTAACCGACTGCGCCACCCAGGCGCCCCTAAAAGAGCCACCTTTTTGTAAAACTTTGTTTTTTTGTTACCATAAATTTGTTTTCTATGTAATGCATCTATAACAAAGTAGTCTTCCAAAATATTTAGACCTCGGGGGTTACTGCTCCGTTTTACATTTTGTAACTGTCAATCTCTAGACAATCTGGCTTGCTAACCTGACTGCCTTCTTTGGTAACTGGGCACCCAGGGCTGTAATGTTCAAATTACCAACTCCAACTTCTGGAGCACAAATTCTTGTGTGATCTCTTGGAGAGCCAAGAAGGCTCTAAACGTTTCTCTTTTCCGTCTCAGCTTAAAGGTAGAAAATCCACTGATCTACTAGAGTAGTCACTTACATGGAAATAACGTGATGAAGGACTGTCACAACAGGTCACCCCCTTCCTCTCCACCTACAGACTCCACTATTGCTCCTGGCAATCTGAAAGGTGCTTCAGAGCAGCTTGTTCCTTTTTCTCTGCCAGGATGCTTGAGGCACTCTCCGAAGTTCAAAAACTAATACCATAGTTCCCAGGGCTAAGTTTTGGTGTTTGTCACTACTATGCTTTTTCTTAAAAACTGGCATTCCAGCTTTCTTCAGTTCAAGGAAAAAAGAATACCATAGCTATCTACTCTTTTTCCTGTTCAGTTTTTCTCACCTCGTCCTGTGCCATGCCAACAGTCTCAATGTTGACTCCACCATCTGCCCTCAGAGACATCATCTCCGTCATCTCAGCATTTCTAACACTATTGAGCGCCTATGGCCACATTCTGTGCGAAGCCTGTTACGTGAATTATCCCATTTAACTCTCACAACCCAGCAACAAATTGAGTACTACCAGCTTTCAGATGAGAACATGCATTTTAAATTATCTATTCTTTTCCTCAACTTTTTTGAGATTTTTTCTGAAGTTGTCCGTGTGGTACAGTTATTTTCAGTGTTTCTTCTGCGTTCTGCAGTTTTAAGTTTATTTACATTTGACAATGTCATTATTTTTCTTCCTCTCTTTCAGTATCACTTATCTTTTTCTTTTAATGATTTGTCTTGTTTCACTAAGATCATGCCTTATTAAGTTCCTTGAAAGCATACAACAGTTTCAGCACAAAAAAGTCTTTTGCCTCCTCGAGTAAGAGTATCCTTAAATGTTTATTTAATTTACATTTTCCAACTTACATTCATTTTCCTTTTTTTTTTTTCAATGTAAGGTATTTCTTTTTGTTTGAGATTGTTTTCTGGCTCACTCATTTGTAAAGGTAGGCAATGTTACCAGGGCCTTCTTACCGTTCAAAAATAACATGGTTATGTCTCCCTCGCTGCTCTCAAGAGATTCCCTCTCTCTCTCTCTCTCTCTCTCTGCAGAGAGAGAGAGATGTTATCTTACTTACCTAGAGGGGAAAAATCTTACGAATGACATTGCGTTTCTCAGGAGACACCTCGGGCACCTTCTGAATTGTTCCGTAAGTATTCAAGACAGAGGACTGGCTAACGAAACCATATTCTCTGTACCACTATCCAGTTCCTTGGGAAGAGACCGAGCGAGGGTGTTAGAGCTGGGGTTGGCTGGCCTCAGCCTGGGAACTTTCTCTCTGAATGTGTTAAGACTACTGTGGCTGGGGCTGATTCAGCCAGCTAGGAAGGTTGAGCCATTCTATGGAGGAGAAGTCCTCACTTTTCAGATCATTCCTCTAATTCAGGGTGAAGTGGCCACATTGCCAAAAAATGAGATTAGCGTAACACTCTTTGGTTCATGATCTTTTGGTTTTGTGGGTCAGCAAGTTTCCACTGAATACATGTTCATCTCCAGTCTATAGCTTGCCTCTAGACCTTCTGCTTTCCTTGTTAGAAAACTGTCAGAAGAGTGAAAAACAAAAACAAGGTGAGGTGACTTCATAGTTCTATGGCTTCTGCTTCAATCTCTCTGCCTCTGCTGAGGTGAAGCAAAAGGCCCCAGATGATTGTTTCTACCCTTCTTCTCCCAAGCCCTCTTGTGACTTCGGCCCTGGGTCCCAATATCAGATGGGTTTTACACCCGTGCAATCCACAGAATGTCCTTCAAATACAATACTGATCCACTCCCTGAGGCTGGAGAGCTTAAGGTTGGTCCAAATTGTCAGGTCAGCTGACACTGTTTAATTCTGTATAAAATTAGAGCCTCAGCATCAGTGTAGAGGATTTCATCTTTAGGCTTTTTTGTCACTTCCTGTGTGTTTTGCCTACCACTTGCTTACAGAAGGAATAAAGTTGAAAACTTACTGGTTCAGCAAAGAAAAAAAATCTTTCACAGTCAGGTTTGTGGGAGACATTTCTTCTAAAAATTAATCATGTCTGTCTTCTAACGTCTTAAGCTCTGAACAAATTTGACTATTTGAGCACCGATCGTACATAAGACACAAGAATACACAAATTTTGGAAACTTATTTTCTGACCTGGATGATGTTATAGTTAGGTGAGGGAAGCAGGTAAGTACACCAATGATCACAAAAGAGAAATCTTCAACCTAAAAACTTCCAATTTGGGAAATCTCACAGTTACGGGCCAAAGCAAAAGCCCATTGAATACTGTCTGTCAATAATAGTGTCATTCTGAATGCACACAAAAAAAGACATGCAGCCTTGTGGAAGGTAGCATGTTGGTTCTCAGAGGGTGCTAGGGGAATACAAATGAGAAACATGTACATTTGTGAAGCTCTGCCGACCAGAAAGTTGAGACAGTCACGCAAGCTGAAGAACAACTCAAAACCAAACAGTCGGAAAGGAGGATTTTTCCTACAGGACTCAATGAGGAGTCTGTGAGGGAGAAGACATGCCTGCAGATGCTAAAGGCATTTTGTCAGCTCTTGTGCTCTTTCTATCTAGAAGTGTGTACAAACAAGGACCACTCAGAATCCACCAGCCACTGAAAAAGCAATTCAGAGAACACCTGGCTTAGAAAGTAGATGACACAAAGGAGATCCAGCTTTTTAGAGAAAGAGGATTTCAATTCTGATTTGAGGGGTCCCTCTGGCTCCAACAAGGTTGGTGGCAGGTGGACCTTGGCAGGTCTGCAGCGCCCCTTAATAGTCTCCATGGTTGAAAAATCATTCAACATCCTTCCCAGCTCCAGGCATAATAAAGCAGATTTGGGGGCATCGATTAAGCGGAAAATCTGCACTCTGATTTGTTTATTAGAATGCCAGTAGTTGACGGTCACACTATCAAATAAAGCATCTTCAGGAGATATGACAGTTTGCTGGAACTAGCAGTAGGCGATTCACATACCTGTATTTTGACCACCTGCTCTTCTTGTCCATATAAATATGATTTCCTAGCTTCATGCTCTTTCCTAAGAAGGGGTCCTGCACTTGTGGCTTCCAAGCGAAGAAGCAAATCTTCAGAAGCAGACCACATCTTCTCACGAACATAATCTCTTGTGACTTCCTCAACAATGTCCTGGCAAGAGATATTTCTTACGGTTACACTTCACACATCGGGTGAAACGAGCAAAGAGAATAGCTTCTGGAGCTTCTATCTTTGAGAAATAGGATATGGACGGCTCTTTCTGGCCTGGTTTAAGCACAGACTTGACCAGAGCAAAAGGATGAACTGGCTGAGCTTCTTTCTAATGACGTGCTTTTGAAATCCTCTGACCTTGGTGCTGAGGTACTAGGAGAATCTGGCTGAGTGATCTCAGGATCTGGAGGCGGAGATGGACAAATGATGCTGGCAAGGACCAAGTGTGAGGCTTGAGCTCCAGAGTGTACAAGGGACAAGGACGGCTGTGGTATGAATATGCACTGCCACCTCCCTCTCCAGGGCTGCCAAGGAAAAGAATGCAGTGGCCATGAAGTCTTCTGGCTCCTAGGCCCCCTTTCTAGTCCAGGCCAGAGAGCAGACCTCTGCAACAAGCCAGGAGGAGCCCGAAATAAACTTGGGGGGAAAATAAAAGACTTTGGACAGAAGGAAAGGGGGTGGGCGAGGAGAGACAGGTGTTCCCCTGGCCAGACAGGCGAAACCCAGATGAATGAGAACAAAGGAGAGGGACTATGAAAAGTCTCAGGTAGATGATGAACTGGGTTTGCTTTTTACGTTCTTTGAGAGATGCAAGCCAAGACTGGACTCACTTCTATGGCTGATGCCTCTTACCAATGTGACTAGAATCAACGGATGATTAATTAAAAAAATTAAAACTGAAATCATAAGAGACAGAGGGAGACACAGAATCCGAAGCAGGCTCCAGGCTCTGAGCTGTCAGCACAGATCCCGATGTGGGGCTCGAACTCATGAACTGTGAGATCATGACCTGAGCAGAAGTCGGATGCTTAACTGACTGAGCCACCCAGGCACCCCTAAGCCTTCCATTTTTTAATAATCCTAACAGAATGATGCTCCATTTTACAAAGTTACTCCTAGGGCATCTTTGGAGGCCACAGGAACAATTTGTGGCTCTGATTTTTAACCCTTTGATGCTGCTTCTTCATAGTGTGATACATCTTTTCCACTCTAGCATATTGTTTTTACATATTGCCCACAGTTTCATTATTTGCAAGGTAGCACTGATAATGTATTGTAACAATGATTGACAATGTTTGAAATTACTTAATAAACCATTTTCTTCACTGTCTTCTTGTCACTCATTTCTGGTGGCATCATCAGCCTCGAGGCCACAGATTTTTCTCTGAGTTTTAGCAAATATCTTTGATGCTGGTGACTTTGAACAATTTTATAAGACCTACATTTGTGTGTTCTGTCTTTTTTTTCAAAATGGAATTAAATTCTTATTTGTATCTTCTCTTTAAACATACTACAATGCATGGAACAAACAGCAATTTTCACATCTTTTGGGTCCAACTTTGGTCTCAAGTCCAAAGCAATCTTGGTGAACATCCTTTCAAGAGTATTTCCCCCTGGAAAGTATTACTGACTTGTTAAAGGACATATCTATCTCTGTGGTAGGCTGTGGGGGGAAAGAAAGAAATTACTGAACACTGACAACCAGGAAATTACTACTAACTGAGCTCTTGTGTCAAGGTAAATGTGAAGATTAATTTTTAGGATAATGTACTATTACAAATAAGCTACAATATCTTTCTTCCCCTTGCTCTCTTCGGTGGTGTTATGTCAATATGGAAATAACTGTACAAGTCAGTAGGCGTGCAGCCCCATCCAACTGCATTCATGACGACTTTACTCTATACCCAGCCTGCAAAAAATAAGTTATTTCCTCCCACCACTTCCATGATTCAAAAACAGAAAGGCAATCACACTTATTTTCTTAGAGCATAGTTATGCATTAAACACGAACCTCCTACCTCAATTTCTTTTGCCATGAGCCATGATTCTTTAGGCAAGCATGATTCAGGTGTGACCCAGGAACTCTCTTTTGAATCAATGTTGTAGTAGTAGTCATATTTATCCTGCAGGGTGAGTTTGAGCCATGAACCTTCAGTAGACACTAAAGAAAGAAGCTTGTTACATTCTAGAGAGAAATACTGAACGCTTCAACATTATACTTTCTCCAATATGTAAAATAATGTAATGAACAATTTTTCAGCAAGCATTCCGACAGCCTAAGTTAAAATCATTAGAAATGACTTGCTAAAATGGAATGAATTCTATGTGTTCAATGGCGGCTCTCTACTAAGCCAAATAGGGAGGACAGTCTGACGGGTAATGCCATGGTTCTGGATCTCAAATTTCTCACGAGGATGAGAAGAGTCACAAATGGCCATCAAGAAGGAAAAAGTAGACAAAGAATGTATGTCCCAGATGTGAATGGCACCAAAGTGGTCAGAGGAGACTGGTGAGCAAGAATCTTCTTTGCTTAGCAACTCTTCCAGCAACTTCTCTGAGAAGGAGTGACCTATACAGACTGTGACCCATTATTTAAGGAAAGCCCATGATCTGCATTAAATCAAAGCAGAAGTAACTCATCTTTGCAGACAACTTTATCCTAACTAAAAACTGGCATATGCAAGCACGATGGTCACTAAGTAGGGAGAAGGAAAATGTCCTGGTTCGACTCATTGTGCTCTACACAACCACACAAAATGAGAAAAAAAAATGTGGAAAGGACTTCATGTCTGGGGGTGGCGAAGGGTGCACTAGGAAAAAAAAAATCTATGGCAGCCATGGCTTAATTAGTCAAGAAGAATATTTCCTCCTCATGAATCCATGGGCTATCCTCCCCATTTTAGAAATATGTTTATTTTGTTGAATGGTCATGATTCTGGTCCCAGACCAGAGAGCCAACAACAACAAAAGCCAAAATAAAAATGTTCTGACCTAGACCAATCTAAGCCAGATTCTGTCAAGTGAACACTCGACTAATTGTCGAGTAGGAAATCAAAGTTCGAAGTGAAAATCTGTACAGAATATTTAAATGGATTAAAAAAACTAAGCAGGGGTAACTTTAAGGCCCTTTAACGTGGTTGGTTATTTGGTTTTATTTTTTAATTATTATTATTTTTTTTAATGTTTATTTATTTTTGAGACAGAGAGAGACAGAGCATGAACGGGGGAGGGTCAGAGAGAGGGAGACACAGAATCGGAAACAGGCTCCAGGCTCTGAGCTGTCAGCACAGGGCCCGACGCGGGGCTCGAACTCACGGACCGTGAGATCATGACCTGAGCCGAAGTCGGCCCCTTAACCGACTGAGCCACCCAGGCGCCCCGGTTATTTGGTTTTAAATGCTCCTCAACTGTTCTCTGTTTGTCACTGCCCAGGAAAAGAGGTGTATCTCTTTTCGAATGGGCAGACAGCTGTTAGCTGTGTCGAAATGCTGGCCTACCAGAAGTACCTTGTACAGCCAAATCAGGATGATCACAAGTAATAATTATGAATCTAAGATAACTCCTAGGTTTCTGAATTGGCAATTTGGGGATATAAGACAGTATGCACCAGAACATGGCACACGGGAAGTGGAGGCAAGTGGAGTAAGCAGAAGATAAATTAGGCTTAGGCCAGGATGGATTTGAAACTGAAACGAACCCTGGCATTAACACTGTTGTGCAACTCTTTCCCCATAAAGGAAGAGGCAGAGGACACTACAGTGACTCCGGATGAAAATATGTGAAGGGAACAGAGATCAGATGCCAGGTAAGAAAGAATGACCAATAGCCTTCTGCATGTTTCATTAACGGGCAACTTGCTGAATTCAAGGGTGCAATCTCCGAGTTGGAAATACATCAGACAAACCACCAAGCGCATAGGGTACCACGGGAAAGACCCCAGTTGAACTAAGAAAACCTTTTTTTCTCCAATTCCACTTCTGAGGCCAGTTTCCTGAAGATGCAAAGTACATGACCTGTGATGTGTAAATCAACACCAGCCTGTGAATCAGGACATACCTTGATCTCTGATAGGATGTGAAGTGCTTGGTATCAATTTACTAAAGGAATGGTGCACTGACTCTCAAAAATTAACCTCTTCTGGTTTGGCAGAGTCTCCTTCTGACCAAAATCCCATGAATGTAAGTTTCTAAATCTAAAAAATGACTATTAGACTCATGATCTCAATGATACTTTACAAAGTTAACACATCATGGTCTACCATTGGATTGAACAGGCATAAATATTTGCCAAGGTTATTGATCTGGGCCCTTGGAGACCAGTGTCGCTGCATTTTATTCCACGTTTTCAAACTTACTCCTATTAAATATTACACAATCATGTACCGTTTGTTTCAAAAATGAGAGAGACAAACATTAGTGAAAAAAATCAGTTTGCTATCCCTGGAGAAATGGATCAACAAGCAAGCACTAGATAAAGCAAATTCTCCTTAAATGCTGTCTTTTCTCAAGTTTATGATGTCACCCATGCATAGCCACCAAGCTAATCAGACTTTTCCAAAAAACATAAAAAGAAAAACACATGTAAAAATTTTTTCCAATACAAAAAAATATTATAGAAACGTTCATACGAAAGCAATTGTCTTAAAGTCAATACAATACATATTGATGCAAGACAGCATCATATTCAAAATGATATTTAGTCAGTGCTAAATGACTAGAAAGCTTACCACTTTTAGATTTGTGCTCTTTTGCCTTCGCGAGGGCATCATAATACCTGTCAGCACATTCAGGGATTATGTCATTTGTATTAGACACAGAAGACTTCAAATGAGACAAAATATCACATGGCTTTTCTTTCTCCAAACACTGATTGACATCGATGACCAGGGTAACCCCTGCATAACGAGAACAAAGTTTCTGTTACTGGTTATCTGCTACTTATTCTAGTGGTGTGCAAAGGTGAGATGTAATTCAGCCTTTTCCAGTAATGCACTGGAATTAAACCTTTATATCCTTTTCAGAGTTAGTACCACAAATACCCATGACTGTCACCAACTCACCTACCGGTTTAGGTTGTAGGAAGAACAAGATCCCACAGGAGCACAGTTTATTAAAAATTACAGCATTTCCAGGCTACTCTCGTGTGGTGGGAAGGCACTAGGTTCCACTCACTGTACTAATCCATAAGAGTGTGGTAAATGCAGTAGATATGCAGTCCTCAAATAGGTCATCCATCAGTATTTGTGAACTTGTCTTATGAAGACATTTATTTATTTTAGAATATATACAAAATCCTGATAGTCTCTTGTATGGTGCTAGTATACTTCAAATATTCTAGGAAAGCAACAGGTAGGGCTGATGGACATATGTACTCAAGTCCAGAAACTTAATTCTGGAACCCATTTAGACTTAGAAAGCATTTTATTCCATTTTAAATTTCTGCTTCTCCCTATAAATCAAACTACAGTGAACTCTTGGTTACCTAAAGAAAGTTAACATGGTGAGTTCTTTACTATCCATTTCATTCCCAGCCAAGAATATTCTGGCCCAACCAATGAAAGTACTGTTTTTACAAACTATAAATCCACTGAGTTAGAAACCTCTAAGCTATGCATTCTTAAAAGAGGTGAAATAACCTCCAGTGGGGCAAAAAACGGCTCTTGTGGGAGAGAGGGCGAGAAATCTTTTTATGTATCAGCAAAGATCTACATATGGTACATAAACAGATTCAATATATCTGTAGTATTAAAATTCCATGGTGAAAAATAATTAGGGAAAATCTATCTAAAAAGATTCCTTAGGGGCGCCTGGGTGGCTCAGTCGGTTAAGCGGCCGACTTCGGCTCAGGTCATGATTTCGCGGTCCGTGAGTTCGAGCCCCGCGTCGGGCTCTGTGCTGACAGCTCAGAGCCTGGAGCCTGTTTCCGATTCTGTGTCTCCCTCTCTCTGACCCTCCCCCGTTCATGCTCTGTCTCTCTCTGTCTCAAAAATAAATAAACGTTAAAAAAAATTAAAAAAAAAAAAAAGATTCCGTAGGGTACAATAATGGAAGAAAGCTGGGGAATTTTGCTCTATGGAGTCAAAAGTAGAGACAAACCTACTTTAAGAAAGCAAGAAACCCAAATGAAGGAGACTTGAGTTATGGTGTCCTTTCAGTCTTGCCTGTGGTAAAACCTATAGGGCAGAACTTTCTTGTACCAAATTATCTGGGAGTGGGTTAGATGCTTACAACACGAAACCAGAATCTGTTTCGAGTCTTATCATACAAAGGATGGATGCTTTTAAAGGGAAGATTAAACTCTTTTTTTGAAAAACTGGAAAATTCTCATCTCATTATTAGAATATAGATGGTTTTACTTCAGAACATCTTTTTGGTGTTATGTATCATAGAAGAAACTATATCAACTCTTCTGAGACACAGGACACAGGCAGAAGACAGGATTTTAAGTGTGTACATCTGGAGTACACAGTCACATATTTGAGAAAGCCTCTTACACAGTCAACACAACAATGAATCTCAATGTAAAACAAGGAACAGCTTCTCATCTGCAGGCCAAATGTAGGAAGAACATGAATAAAATGATTTCTAAATTGGTTTGACTTCTAAGAGCAAAACTGTAACCCTTTCAGGCTGAGTGCCAATGTTACAATCTAATTTCTTTAAAAGTGTTTCTTCAAACTACGGCTTCCTTCAGTTTTACGTTTAAATCTAAATCTCTTACGAACCCGTCTCAAATTTATTTTATTTTTTCTTCAGGATTAGAGTGCTAGAATGGAAAGACTTCAAAGATCCTGAGGGTATAAGTTCAGGTTGGAGAAATGCACAGAATTTTCCGGGCTAAGGAAATAAAAACCAGATGTTCCCCACAGATGCTTCCAAAGTTGAAAAGCCAATCTTTGGGGGGAAGAAGAGTAAGGTGTCTCGACAGCATTCTATGACCTGATACAATAGGATACGTCCTAGTTATGCCGCAAATAGGTTAAGGAACAGCACTTTCAGAAGTCTTACTTTCGGTAGATTATTTGTCCATGTAGAGTGTTAGTATATCAATCTTGAAGCTACTTTAGATTTCCATGTGAATTTTCCTACTATTCGTCTATGAGTCTTAGAATAAAACTAAAATTAAATCGTTTGAGCCAATGAGGGGATTCTGCTAGTTGCCGAGTACGTCTATCTCAATTATGCACCCTAGACCTGGGGGAATAATTGCACGTCGGTTTGAGGACTCGCTGGGAGAAAGACCTGAGCTAAGACTCCACTGATCACCTGAGCTCCATGAGCCCTTACTCTGGTTGGTGGACCACAGTGACATTTGGGGTTTCCTGCAATTAGTGTCAGTTTCAGAGCCAGTGTGCTGTAACCCCTGGAACGTCTGATTGCATCCTTTCCCCTCAGCACAGCCACCATGGTAAAAAATTGCAGCTCTCTTTAGGGGAAGCCGGGAATAAAGATGAACAGTATAAACTTTTGACTGTAGCACTCTGTTCTCAAGTGGACCCGGTCTCCTCTTCACTTAAGGGGTTCTTGGTTTGTAAATGGCTTAAGTATGGGAATTGACTTAGGGGCCATGATTTTTGCTCTCATTACTCAAATTATACTTCTGCATTTGACCTAGAATTCTTCTTCCACTTGTACAAATCAAGAATGAATTTAGTAAACTGTTTAAATCATATTTAGGGACACCACAGTCAATGAGCCAATCCCACAGGTCTGTCAGATCATTCTGATTACTGCTTTGACTCTGCTCTCCATGACAGTAACCACACCCACTCACCTTTGGTGGTTAAGTGCTGCCACCTGGCCTCTGTGGCCTGCCCACAGATTCTGGACTGCCAGCCTTTTTGCAAGTACATGAGACAGTTCCTTAGAGTAAATCTCCCCGTCTCTTTCTCTATGTATGTGTGTGTATACAGATACTACATACTTTCCAGAGAAACAACTATTTATCTGCATGCACATGCACTTGTACACATGCACGCACACACACAGATATATGACTACATATTTAGTTCTCCGGAGAAAAGTATATATTTGGTTCTGTTTCTCTGGCAAATCTGGACTAATACAATGGAAGGCATAGAACGGAGCATAGGTATTTATTAAGCAGATTGGGCAAGTTTCTAAAGGGTCAAGATAAAAAAAGGGCTTCAAATACCCATCGATAGATGAATGGATAAAGATGTGGTGTATATACACAATAGAGTATTTCTCGGCATTCAAAAAGAATGAAATCTTGCCATTTGCAACTACGTGGATGGAACTGGAGGGTATTGTGCTAAGCAAAATTAGTCACAGAAAGACAAATATCATATGACTTCACTCATAGGAGGACTTCAAGAGACAAAACAGATGAACATAAGGGAAGGGAAACAAAAATAATATAAAAACAGGGAGGGGGACAAAACAGAAGAGACTCACAAATATGGAGAACAAACTGAGGGTTACTGGAGAGGTTGTGGGAGGGGGGATGGGCTAAATGGGTTAGGGGCATTAAGGAATCTACTCCTGAAATCATTGTTGCACTATATGCTGACTTGGATGTAAATTAAAAAAATAAACATTTTTTAAAAAGGTGAAACAGGGCTTGATTAAACTAGAAATTTGAGAGTTCAGTAACCATTTTTTTTGCTTTCTGGATTTTGTACCAGAATCCTTAGATTTTGCTAGAGATGGCACCTAATCACTGAAAATAGTGCCACCCCCAATAGATCTTTTTGTATACATACTCAACAACTAAAATTGCTAAGAGTCCAAATCTTTTCAGAAACTAAAGCTATATAGTTATAAAAATAAAAAATCAGTGGCATAACCAGCAAGGTTCATTGAGCCAGCAAAAGGAGGTGAGGACTTACATTGTTTTGCTTTGTCCTTGTCCATGTTGGCCTCATCGACCGCATGCTGTATCTCATCCAGCCAAAGGACTTTGGAAACAATCTCAGAGTCCTGGGAATAGGGTCATAGAATAAAAGAAAGAACAGGGAATGATGATGAAACAGAATTTATAACTGCTTTTTAGGAGCCCATTTATTACGGTTCCCACAGACTCTTACCAACTACCAAGCACTGTCATACACTGTATAGACTATTAACGCCCAATTCCAACCCCCATCTCCCACTTAGGTGCATTCGTCTATTGGTTTGTGTTGCTTCCAAGACTGCCCTCTCCCACGGTGGTCCTTTATAAAGAACCGGATGATCCCTGTGCTGGAACTCCTCCACAGATTTCCTCTGCAGTTAGGGGAAAATGTAACTCCCCTTCCCAGGGACTGTGGGGATCTAATGATGCAGGCCTGCTGACTCCTCTGGCTGCCCTTCACACTCCTCTACTCCCTGTCTCAGACCTGCACACCAGCCTCCTTCAGACCCTAATGTTCTCCTCCAGCTGTGTGGCTATGGATTCTTTCCTACCGTTCAGGGCTTAATTCAAATGTCACCTCCTCCAGAAAAGCTGCCTCTGAATATGCTCTCCCTTAATCACTGTGTTCCCAAGGTGGCCCAGAGTACCACAGGAAACTTTATTTTTTTTTTTTTCAACGTTTATTTATTTTTGGGACAGAGAGAGACAGAGCATGAACGGGGGAGGGGCAGCGAGAGAGGGAGACACAGAATCGGAAACAGGCTCCAGGCTCTGAGCCATCAGCCCAGAGCCCGACGCGGGGCTCGAACTCCCGGACCGCGAGATCGTGACCTGGCTGAAGTCGGACGCTCAACCGACTGCGCCACCCAGGCGCCCCTCACAGGAAACTTTAAATTTGAAGGAAAGACAATGATACTTGGCATTTATCAGACACAGAGACAAAAACAAAAGACCCATACAAAAACATGGTGGCTGCCCTCAAGGAGCTAACAACTTAGTAGAAAAGATAGATTTACATAAAAAATAATTATAATACAATGTGATCAGAGCGACAATGGCTGTAGACACGTGATCTAGAAATAGTCAAGAAATGATTATAGTAGGGGTTAATTACAGGGGGAAGAAATACTTGGAGCTAAGGACAGCTTCAGAATGGAAGTGATAACAGCAATAAAAAGGCACTAAATTATCTACCATTTTTTTTTTTTTTACTTTTAAAGTGATTTTATTTTATTTTTGGTTGTATTTTAAAGAGAGACAGAGCATGCACATGAGTGAGGGAGAGGGGCAGAGCAGGAGAGAGAATCTTAAGCAGGCTCCACACTCAGTATGGAGAGTGACATGGGGCTAGATTCCATGTCCTCAGGATCATGACCTGAATTGAAATTAAAAGTTGGATGCTCCACCGACTGAGCCACCCAGGTGACCCCATTTTTTTTTTTTTTACTTCTGGGTTGATTCTGACTACCATATTACAAATATGGTGCTACTATATAGTAATTAAATGGGACTTCCAGAAACCAACTGCCCAAGATTACATAAACTTGCCAAAGATTACAAGTAAGTGTTATCAGGAGAAATTAAATATTTTTCAGGGAAGATGAGACATTCAATTTATTTTAAGTTTATTTATTTTGAGAGAGAGAAAGCACATGCAGGGGCATGAACAGAGGCAGAGAGACGGAGGGAGAGGGGTGATCCCAAGCAGGTTCCGCACTGTCAGCACAGAGCCTGACGCAGGGCTCAATCCCACAAATCTTGAGATCATGACCTGAGCCCAGGCACCCTGAGGCATTCAATTTTCAACAATGGGGACACTTGCCCATGTGTAGTAATAAGTGTCACGTACTAAATCCTAAGGCAAGCCTGTGATGAACAGCAAGTAGCTCATCAGAACCATGGAGAACTTGCTCCATCATTCAGGACTCATGATGGATGGATAGTTTGCAGGAAGGAGAAATGACATCCACCTGCTCCTCTGCAAGGCTTCAAAGCTATTTCCCTCTTAGACTAACTTGAGATAATGTATGCAGAAAGCACTCTGAAAGTAAGACAAAGAATCTATCACTTCATCCTGTAATATCTGGGCTAATGGAGACCATCATGGAAGGCTTGGCTCCTGCTTCCACAATCATCTCTAGGCAGATCTGCCACATGGGTATGGTTACTTGTAGCAAGATCTCCATTTCTTGAAAGAATGGATGTGAAGGAATCAAACAAGAAGCATGATAGGAAGTTGAAGACTACAGGAAGAATGAAGAGACAGGGGAGTAGGAACTATTTGTTCCCAAGGCCAAAGAGAACCCAAACACTCCTCCCAGGACTAGCCTAAAGACTAAGTTCCATACAAGTTCATTTATGTCTCTTTCAGTTTTTTTGAAGAGTATTTACCAAATTCTTTCGTAACTTATCATTGTAGAAGATGCACCATACAAACTTTGACCCAGATGAAAAGGAAGTTAAATCCTACTTAAAAGCTTAAAGTATTTGTTTCATAAGGCAAAGAAAAAGTTTACAAACCAAATGGATTTAAGTCAACAGTTTAAATCATGACTCATTACACCGAAGGATGCTAGAGTTAAATGTAAAACCAAGAGTAAAAACCAAGCCCTAGCAGTTTAAGATCTCCTTTTAAATTGCTTGCTACAAGACTGGAAATTTATTTATAGGATGGTCAGGGCTCTACCTCAAGCTACATAGCCAGGTTCAACATCTGAGTGACAAATGGATCAAGTAAAGAGAAAGCAGGCCATCTGCAAATCAAGTGATAAGTTCCTGAATTCAGATGAGTCCTAGAATATTTCAATTCAACAAAAAGTACCCTTTTCAATATTTTATGGCATTTTGGCTATTTCTGCAATAAAATAGCTTTCAATTTCAGCTTCTGTTAACATATATTATGTAGCTGAAGTACTATTAATTTTTGATTGTAAAACTCTTGGTGTGATGAAATTTAATCATGATGTGAAAAGTTTACACAGATCAATTCCTTCCTGGCTTAGCCCTCAGCCTGTAAGTCTCACACCAAATCTGCATTTTCTGATTCTTGCTGCATTTTATATGCAACATGCTGTTGGGACTGTTTGGCTTAGGGTTTAACCTTAAGTTGTGTTAAGTACAGAAAAATCTGTCACAATGCAGTTTCATTTATACTACATATTAAACCATATCCTCCGGGATATAACTATCCATAAAAGCTTATACATTGCACAACGGTGTGGCTGTCCTAAACACTACTGAGTTGGACACTACTTAATGATTAAGATGGTAAATTTTATGTTATGGACATTTCACATTTTTAAAAAAAAATTTTTTTTTCAACGTTTATTTATTTTTGGGACAGAGAGAGACAGAGCATGAACGGGGGAGGGGCAGAGAGAGAGGGAGACACAGAATCGGAAACAGGCTCCAGGCTCTGGGCCATCAGCCCAGAGCCCGACGCGGGGCTCGAACTCCCGGACCGCGAGATCGTGACCTGGCTGAAGTTGGACGCTTCACCGACTGCGCCACCCAGGCGCCCCCATTTCACATTTTTAAAAAAATGTTTATTGTAGACCTGCTCACCAATAACCATGGAATAAACAGAGTCCTCTGCATTTTAATGTTGTATCACCATTTTAGTTTATTATTTAACACCCCTCCACACCCCACTGTTACCTGACTCTGTAGTTAATGAACAGCTCAGAATATGTTGAGTTATGGCAAAACAAAAAAAACACCCTAAAACCAAGTATGGCCAAACAGTGATGGCAAATTCAGAACAATGTGACACTGATGGAGAATTTTCAAAGTAACCAAGGTCTTAATTTAGTTTCCTAAAAAAAGTTTGTTTTCTGTGACTCATTTCATTTATAATTATGTAATGGGTTTAAGAATTAAGGTTTGAATAACAGAGAGGATTAAGGCTAATTTCTGACAGCTCAGTTATTCAGTAGACATCACACTCTGGCACTGTGTTTTTTAAATGGATAAAAACGAGATAAAGGACAGTCAAAACTAACTGCTGCTTGGCCTCTATGTTCAGCTTACTTCTATAAGCACTCACTGTATACTACCTGCATTTTTTCAACATATCAAAGTATACGGGGTGGGAATTAGAGCATCTACGCAGAAGGAACTGTTAGGGGTGGGTAAGAGTTAAATGATTTGCTCCAGGAATAAAGTAATGTGTTCAGAGACTCAGCCTGAGTCACGCAGCCTGCAACATGAGCGCTGTCACACCCTTCCCCTCCAGAGAACCTGGGCAAGCTTCCCAGTCTGCGGAGCATGCGACAGACAGCACGCTCTACAGCGAGAACAAGGGTTCCATTTGCTGTTCACACACGAAACCGAGGGGAAGCTGTGCTCCCTAATTTTACACGTTTAACAACATTTGAGAAACAGGACTCAGGTCACCAAGATGAAAGCCCTCATCTTTGTAGCTGCTGGAGTCATGCTTCTGTCGCCCACTTTTTGTCAAAGCGGTAAGCTCTTTTCATACGGGGGTAGGTCGGGGGCTGGTGGTTTGTGTTACAAGGGCAAACGGAATCTAATTTTCTTCGCACATTACACAATCTGCAACCTGAAAGGCAGAGTTTGAGGTTATGAAAAGGCAGCATCTTGGAAGGGAATAGCTATCGTTTGTTTGCTCTGTTCAGACCGTGTCGAAGACCAGTGTTCTTTGCTTAGATTTAAAAACCTGTGGCATAGTCAAGATTTTAACTCCTACAATGAAGTCACGGATCAAACTTCATTGTGACAAGATTCTGATCTTCTAAGAATTTCCTCTGATTCAGCAAGACAGCACTTTTTCAAGAGATTTTCAAAATTCTTATGTTTATACCTTGTCTTGGGCCACAAGTAGGAAAAACAAGAACAGTACTAGAAAGAATGAGTGGTCCTCCAGTAAGTAATGCTAACAGGTTACTGTTTCTTAATGACTTTACCATGGAGTTCTCCTTACATTCACATGATTTTTTAGTTTTTAGAAATGAGATCTCCCAAATACTATTATTCAACTCTTAATGTGTTTATTTCACTCAACCCAATGTTAGCCTGTCACCTCCTGCTTACTCCAAAATAAACCAATTTGCGCTATCTGTATCCACAACCCTTCTGCTGTTAGGTCTCTCTCTAGCCAACATTGTTTGGAGCAGGAAAGCTGGGGTGAGGGACAACGATGAGGCAGAAAAAATAAAAATTTAACAAAACTAAACCTCTATAGAGGAATGTTGCTTCAACAGGCAGTTGAAATCGCCAAGGTGGTTGTGGGAGAGTGCTAAGCATTCAGAGCAGCAGTGGGTGTGGGATTCACGAGGAGTGAGCGTTCTGGGTAGGGGTGAACCCAAATGCAGCAGAAGGGGGCTCCTTCAAGATGCTGGTGGAGTTTGGTGCAAGTGAACAGGGGGCATTTAAAGGCGACAAAGTAAGAAGCAAGGCATTTGCTTTCTTCCATGGGGTGGGGGAGAAATGAGTAAAAAAACCCTATCGTCTAGAGGCTGAAGTCTGGTCCCCTTGGACCAGTCCCTTTCCAAGGCCTTTGCCCAGAGTAAAAACATTTTAGAAACATTATGCCAAACGGAAGCCTGTATTAAGAATCCAAACAAATTGAAAAATATGTCAAATTTAACAATGAGTACTATTTGAAAGCACACCAGACTCTAGGCACTAAAAGACTTACTCAAGTCAAGCCAGATCTGGAATTCTCATGGAAAAAGGAATCGAGGCTTTTTCACAGCCACTGTTTACCATGTTTTTAGGCACCATGTCTTGCTCAATCACAGGAATTTTCTGAAAAGTGACAAACACTTCATTTCAACAACTCTCTTATCAGATCTTGAAAGGAAATAACTTGCACAGCATGTTCTTCAGCCACCATTTTCCAGCTTTGGGCCTAATTCTCAAGGCATTTCTCTTTGGGTGACATCAAATTTAAGCATTTTTCAAAATGCGAGAATGAAGAGAAGGATTTGTGTGGCTGAATCCAAGGGTCACCCAACCGATCCTCAAAGTTCACATCTAAACACAGGCAGAGAAGAACACTTCCCAGATATTTCTTTCCTTTTCGTTAATCTATCTTCCTTTAAACGACACCTTAACACCACCTCCCTGTCCCTACTTGTTCAGGCAATACTCTGTTTTATACACTGAATTCAGTTTGTGCAATCTCAAGGTTATGAGGAAGGCTTCAATTTCACCTGGGGGCGAACTGCCAGAGATTAAAGCAGGAAGAGAAACTGGCTTTGAATGAGAACCAGGTTACTAAACACTAACCCCAAGTGCTCAACACGTAGGAATTCAGAAGTCATGTGAAAAGATGTAACCGGCAGAACAATGGCATTTTAAATTGGTAAGTATGAGGTTTATATTAGGCATTAAAGTCCATCTTAGAAATGTGAGAGAATCCACTTTATGTACGTGTCAAAGATTTACGGAAAAATTATATAATGAGAAACAGGTTTGAGTAGTAAGGTCTACTGTGTTTTTGAAATTGCTCTTGCATGAATTAGGAGGATTAAAATTAGCATGCCGGGGCGCCTGGGTGGCGCAGTCGGTTGAGCGTCCGACTTCAGCCAGGTCACGATCTCGCGGTCCGGGAGTTCGAGCCCCGCGTCAGGCTCTGGGCTGATGGCTCGGAGCCTGGAGCCTGTTTCCGATTCTGTGTCTCCCTCTCTCTCTGCCCCTCCCCCGTTCATGCTCCATCTCTCTCTGTCCCAAAAAATAAATAAACGTTGAAAAAAAAAAATTTAAAAAAAAAAAAAATTAGCATGCCAACGAATGCCCAACATATAGTTTACATAATTTATGTAACATACATAATTTATAGTATGTAATTGTTGCATCTCTATTCCTTTTTGTTCCATTTCTGAATTTTTCCTTAGTTTTTTAAACGGAAATAGAGTTGCCATACAATGTTACATTGGCTTCAAGTGCACAACATAGCGATTGGACAATTCTATACATTATCTCGTAAGTGTAATTACCACTTGTTACCAAACAATGTTATTACATTATGGACTATATTCTCTATTCCCCTCTTTTCATTTTTCTTCCTTTGTCTCCTCTATGCTTGTCATTTGTCCCATCTTCTTCCCCAAAATCATCTAGAGTAGATGCCTCCTAGTCATTTTTGCCTCCTGCCTCTCCCTCATTGCCACCAAAGCCAACTGGATGCCAAGTCCCTCTAAGCTGCCATCAGTTTCCACGGTTCACTTCGCCTTTCTGCTGCCATTGCTCTAGTTCGTTACTTTCCATCTTGAGTCTCAATGACTACAGCAGGCTCCAGATCAGTCCCCCTTGCCCCTAATTTCTTCCCTTTTCAGTCTCTACACTGTCACCCAAGTCATCTTAAATATAAACCAGATCACAGTTATATTAGTATGCTATTGGTGCTGCAACAAATTACCACAATTGTAGTGGCTTAAAACAATACAGATGATACTTCCGGAGGTCACAAGTCCTGAAGTCAAGATGTCAGCAGGGCTGTGTTCATTCTGGAGGCTCTGGGGCATAAGTTATTTTCTTGTCTTTTTTTTTTTTTTTTTTTTTTTTTTTTTTTTTTTTTTTTTTTTAGCTTCTAGAAGCTGCTTGCATTCCTTGGTTTATGGCTCTTTTCATCCTCAATGCCAGCACAGCCCAGCATTTTAAAATATCTGATATTGACTCCCTTGCCTCCCTCTTATAAGGAGTCTTATGATTACATCTGACGCACCCAGCCAATCCAGAATACTCATGCCATCTGAAGATCCTGAATCACATCTGCAAAGTCCCTTTTGCACATAAAATAACATACTCAAAGGGTCCAGGCATTAGCAGGTGGAATCTTGTGGGGCCATCATGCTGTCTACTATAATGGCCATGCCTCTGTTCACAATTTTCTATGTGCCTAAGCCCAGCATCTGAGAACAGAAACATGATTTCTTTCGAGTTTTCTTCTAGTTAAAGGTCTTTCAGAGATTTGGCTGTATCCTACCCTTTCATCTGTAACCTACCCTGTCATCTTCTTTCACACACCTTATTAGCGTAAGACAATGAGTTTTTGTGCACCTTTTCCACTGGTCTGACAGTTTGAAGACAGGGACAGAGTGTAACACTGTACCACTGGCATATAAGCATGCAATAAACATTTGTTGAATTAACTTATCTGACATTGCCAGATCCCATGCCAGCCCATATATCTTATTCATCTATTAAATTTCATCTATGAACCTTGCTCATCTTTACCTCTTCCTTGACATTCTGCTCAAACATTTAAATCTGTTAACCACTGTCTGAATGTCTATACAATTTACAGCCAATATGATATTGGTCTATAATGGTTTGATGTGCTATTATTGCTTTCTCCAATGGTATTATAAACTTCCTGCCTGCAAGGAGTTGCCATCTAGCTTTTGCTCCTGCATGGGCTAGCATAGTGCTGGGGCATACAATATATACTAAATGCATTCCTGCTAATTACCAGATTTATAGGGATTTGTAAAAATAAAAATGATTCTAAATTCTACAACTACAGAAACTATGTAGATAAAACTTTTAGTTTCATTGTGTCCTGAATCACAGGCATGGGCTCAGCAATAATTCATATTAATACTTCTTCTCAGTTGCAGGCATGGCAAATGACGTCCACAACTTGGCAAAACCAACCTTACCTATTAAGACCTTCCGTGGGGTTCCCCCAAATTCTTTTGAAGAATTCCCCCTTTCTGCCATAGAAGGCTGGACAGGAACTACCACAACTGTAAAAATTAACTGCCCAGAAGAAAGGGTTTCAAATCTCCACGTGAATAATGCTACCATGGGGTACCTGAGCAGCTCCTTAAGTACCAAACTGATCCCAGCCATCTACATCCTGGTGTTTGTAGTAGGTGTGCCAGCCAATGCGGTGACCCTGTGGATGCTCCTCTTCAGGACCAGATCCATCTGTATGAACATCTTCTACACCAACCTGGCCATGGCAGACTTTCTTTTTTGCATCACACTGCCCTTTAAGATAGCTTACCACCTCAATGGGAACAACTGGGTATTTGGAGAGGTGATGTGCCGGGCCACCACAGTCATCTTCTATGGCAACATGTACTGCTCCATTCTGCTCCTCGCCTGCATTAGTATCAGCCGCTACCTAGCCATTGTCCATCCTTTCACATACCGAGGTCTGCCCAAGCGTACCTACACCTTGCTGACATGTGGACTGGTGTGGGCAACGGTTTTCTTATACATGCTGCCATTCTTCATCCTGAAGCAGGAATATTACCTTGTCCAGCAGGACATCACCACTTGCCATGATGTCCACAACACATGCGAGTCCTCATCACCCTTCCAACTCTACTACTTCATATCCTTGGCATTCTTTGGATTCTTAATTCCCTTTGTGGTCATTATCTACTGCTACACAGCCATCATTCGGACGCTTAATGCATATGATCACAGATGGCTGTGGTATGTTAAAGCGAGTCTCCTCATTCTTTTGATTTTCACCATTTGCTTTGCTCCAAGCAATATTATACTCATTATTCACCACGCTAACTACTACTACAACAATACTGATGGCTTATATTTTGTCTATCTCATAGCTTTGTGCCTTGGGAGCCTGAATAGTTGCCTAGATCCACTCCTTTATTTTCTTATGTCAAAAATCATAGATCACTCCACTGTTTACCTTACAATGGTGAAATCACCTTAGAGAACAAGGAACGCCATCTGTGAAAACACACCTTCTTGGGACGATATATGCCGAGTGCAAAGGGTTCTACCCTCTAACTCCATTCTTGAGCTCCTAAGAAATACTGCCTCAAAATAAAACACTACAAAAGCACTTTTTTATTTTAATACTTTTTCAGGATTTTAAGAGTGTCAGAGCAGAAGAAAAGATATCATCATCTTTAGGGCAACTGACACACTTGCCTGATGGTACTTGAAGACCTTTAGTTCTCCATCTTCCCTACTTCCAGTAGGTTTCAACCCTACAGGTCCTGGAGGAGGAGGTGGGACAAGGGCGAAGCACAGGGAGAAGCTAAGATCTCAGTTTTCAGTGTTTGGTGTCATTTTTGATTCGTCTTCCTTCTCCAACTCCCACACAGGTGGTGCCTCATCAGCTCACTCGAAGTGATTTCTATCACTAGGGGCCATTACCTTAATCCCACATTTGCCTTCTAACCATTCTTTTCACTGCCAGCCTATTCTATTTCACTGGCCATTGCCAGATTAATCTTCCTGAGATCATATTGAACACATCACTCAAAAATCCCAGCTCACACACTGCCAATGATTGTTCACTGTTTTGGAATAAGCTATAAATCTTTAGCCTGACATTCAGAGATAATTTTCCAACTTTACTTCCCAATATACCTTGCCTGCAAAGTAGGCACCAGCCAAGCTTCTTGATTTGCTACAATCTTGACTTCTCCTTTTTGCTCTTGCTTCTCTAACTGTAAAGCTGTTTTTAAACATGTTTGCCTTAATTCTTTCCATCTCTTAAAGTCTTCAATGGACCATTCTTCTGATTCTCAAGGTAGAAGTTCATTTTTCTCATCTCCCTTTCTTGTATTTTTGACATTTATATACAAATATTAATTTCATAAATACTTATTAAACACCCTGTATAGTAAAGAAGGGGCTACTCCTCCCCCTTCTTTAGTTTCATGTAGACCCAAGCCTTCTCAGGGTTTGTGGGGCCCAGATCCATGCTCTGTATAACATGTTGCTGAGTGAATGAATAAAATCTCAAAGCAGCAAAACAGTATGAAAGCCCATTCAATTGTTACTGAGAAGGCAAGTTACCTTGTATGACAAGGGACATTATTTTTTTGGTTGGGCATGTAAAAAAAAAAAAAAAAAAAAAAAAAAAAGGTAAGTTAGAACATACTCATAAAATCATTTAAAAGTTCAAAATAACAAAACATTAAAAAATTAAAAAAAAAGGGTGGGGTGTCTGGGGGTCTTAGTCGGTTAAGCAGACTTTGGCTCAGGTAATGACCTCACGGTCCAGGAGTTCCAGCCCTGTGTTGGGCTCTGTGCTGACAGTTCAGAGCCTGGAGCCTGCTTCAGATTCTGGGTCTCCCTTTCTCTCAGCCCCACATTGGGTACAGAGATTACTTGAAGAAAAAAGAAAAAAAAAAAAACATAAAAAGAAACCTAAAATAAGTTTTAAGATGACAGAAACTTCAATGAAAGGAATTGGTTTCTGCAAATAAAGCCATCATGTGTAATACAGTTTCACGTAAAAGAAAAATGTAGTAATATTCACTTGTTAAAAGCACACAACTCTTGTGCAGTAAATATATACATAGCAAAACAGAACGTTTTTGGGCATCTAATTCACAAAGTCTCAAGGAAAGCCTTCAATTTTAAAACAGCTCACAATGCACTGCCTCTGGTGAACAAAGTGTGTTTTCTACTAAGTATGTGCCAACATGCGCATTACCCAGCCTTTCTCCTGAGACAAAAGGCATTTGGTTTCTACACAAGGTTACACTTGAAATACTATTAATGAGGAGCAAGAATTCTCACCAGCTTAAATCCCTGTCCTCAACCTTTGATAAAACTGGCCATCCGTTCCATGCAGATGTTATCCACTGTCATCGTTTTTAAAAATTCTTTTTATTTTAGAGAGAGAGGGAGAACACATGAAGGGGGGCGGGGGGGGGGGAGAGATAGAATCTTAAGCAGTTTCCATGCTCAGTATGGAGCCCAATGCAGGGCTCAATCCCATGATCCTGGGATCATGACCTGAGCCGAAATCAAGAGTCAGACTCTCAACCGACTGAGCCACCCAGAGCCCCTCCAATGTGATCTTTAACAGCTGTATGTTTTCGCACAAGCTTTACTTTATACTGACAATTTCTATTATTTTCAAGGCCAGATCTTGGGAAGGCAAGGCACAGAATTATCTCCATCAAAACACAACTGCAACTTCCAAGCATCCAAACCACAAATGTTAAAAAACACACACAGATGGGGCACCTCGGTAACTCAGTCAGTTAAGTGTATGACTTTTGATTTTGACCAGGTCATGATCTCAGGGTCATGAGATCAACCCCCGCTGGGTGTGGAGCCTTCTTAATATTCTCTCTCCCCCACTCTCTCTCTCAAAAACAAAAAAACAAAACAAAAAAAACTCACACAGACACACATACACACACATATAGACCTCATCAAATAAGCAAAGAATCAGTTTTTTTTCCCCAGGGAAAAAACAGGCGGAGAAAAAAAAAGTTTCAAAATTAATGGGCAGAAAAGGAAAATGGTGTTTAAAAATAGCAATTAAACCAAATCATATTCATTGCTTGGAACTGTAATGTTTTAAATCTGTTAGCTCTTGCCAATACAATTCAGGCTCCTCATTTTATAGGCCGAAGCAGTTTAATTCCAGCCTGAGCTAGAACCCAGATCCTTAGGCTCATATTTAATGCTCTATTTCCATTACTAAAGCTGCTGCTCTTACACTTAGGAAGCAAGCCTGACAGACAGATGGCAAAGTGGAGACACCCAGCAAAGGCTTCTAAGTGCCCTGGTGAGGTCCCACGGCACTCCATCTTGACCTAAAGCTATCAGATTGGAATGCTCTGGAAGGGACTTGCATAGCCTGCCTATGAAAGATTTGTGGAGTCAAGGACAAACCGCATGTGGCTGTGGGCAGAGAGGAACCTAGGTCTATCTCTATCCTGTACCCAGAAGATCCCACGTGCGGTTTGTAGATGCAACAATTTGTGTGTGTCTAGCAAGGACTTTGTGACACAGACATCACTCAGCCCTTACCTGGGCAACCGCTGGCACCCACAATAATATTAGCTACATTATTTCAGTATTTTTGGGGGTGTCAAGCTCCATGCAGAGTGCTGAACAAACACATGTGTATGTTCACAATATAATTATATATGATTACATGTTAATATAATCTATAGAAATATAAGTACGTGAACATACAAATACACTTTATTACATCTGTATGTTACTCTTAACCCCTCATCGTGATCCTGTAAGATAGGCACTATTATCCATTTTACACGTGTGGAAATGGAAGTATAGAGAATTCAAGGGACTTGACTAAAATCTCTGGTTACTTTGACAAAGCCAATATTGGAATGGTGCCTGTCTGTCTCCAAAGCGAGTAACTGTATCTTCCAATGCTGACAAGCGTGCCTCGGGCCACAGTCTTGGCTCCATCAGTGGGGATGGCAGGCGGAGACCCATTCTCCCCTCCAGGGGGGGGGGGGGCACAAGGCTTGGGTTTCAGTTTCACTCTCCTATTCGCTGGCCCGCTATTTATTGACCAGTCCCGTTCCTTCCCATCAGGTGAAAGGGCAACCAGCCACACAGCTGCTGTGAGGGTCAAATGAAGATAAATAATGTGAGGGCACCCCTAAAGCACAGGGGGTAGGGCAAGGCTGCTGCCATCCCCATCAGAAGGTTAACAGTACAAAAGTCCCCGCCTTGGAGGGATGTTTTTATTCACCTTTAATGAGGCAGTTCAGTAGTACATATGATTATATGTGCATATGTATGCAACATATAAATGTAAATAAATATGCATATACATAAGAAGATATACACTTTAATTTTTATTAAAAATATTTTTGCAGAGGTAATACATGGTACAAAGTTTATATTAAAAATTTATTTTTTCCTTCCTCACCACTCACTTCTCTTTGCCAGAGTCAACACTTCCCTGTGCTGCTGGAGACTACATTATGCCAAAATAATTTCTAATACCTTGCATCAAAATGAGCTGCCTTGAAGGGGAACACCTCAGCCGGGGCAGTAGGTCCTATTCCACAAACTAAGTTACCAGGGAAATCTTGGCCCTTTGTGAGTTGTTTACATTTTTTTTTTTTTTAAGTTTAGAAACATTCATCATGTAATACATGTACTCTCTAAGAAAGTAAAATCCCAACAGCACAAAAACAGAAAACAAAGAAGTCTCCCATCTACACCAGACTTCTAGTTCACCTTCCAGGTGTTTCCTTCTGGAAATAATTTATGCACATGCAAGAGTATGTTTATTATGGGTGTGTATCCCATTTTCAGGCATGTGGAAACATTTTTTTTTTTTTACTTAACAATATACATACTGAAGATTATCCAATATAGATTCACTCAATTTTTTTTGACGACCACAGAGTATTTCACTATATGGATATACTGCAACTTACTTAACTGGGCCTCTCTTGAAGGATATTTATATTGTTTGGGGTCTTTTGTTATTACAGTGCAACAATAAACATCCCCTTCCCTCTGCCTTTATAATACAGGTTTCTGAATCCAATGGACCAGGGCACAGTTGCAGAAGGAATTACTTTTTGGATAGTTTTGGATACATTACTTAGCCTAAGTTTCATTATCTGTAAGTGATGATAAGGACATTTAACCCACATGGCTGTTATGGATTATTATGAGGATTATATGAGATAATATGCATACAAATACGCAGTATCATGCCTGGCAAACAACAGGTGCTCAATAAATGTTTGTTCTAATCAAAGATGTTGTTCCTGTTTCAGATGAGGCAGTTTCTGGGTTGTAAACACCTATACAGAGAAGACCTCCACTCCTTGAGGTTTTGCCTTGCAGCTGGAGACATGGCATCTATGAGTGGGGTCGGTTCCAGGGAGCATCTCTCTCTCACTCTCAAGGAACAGATCATAAGCTTCACCACTCAGCACCCTTCCAACACTGGCCAGTATCTGTGGAACACCTCCTAACACCAGTCTAAGCTCTGCAGCATGGAAAAAACCCTGTGCTCTTCAAAGGGACTGTGGCCAGGTCAGTCTCTTCCTGTGCTGAGAACAAACCAGGCTCACACCTGCCCAGCACTGTACTCCCAGCCTGCACCGTCCTGCTTTCCACCCACCTAACCAGCTCCTCCTTCCCTTCCAGGGGCAGCTCCTGTTCTCTCTCCATGACCACTCCTCTTAGGATTCTAGCCCACAAAAATCCATGGTCTCTGAAGTACTCGGTGCATATGCCTTGTTTTCACACTGTGTCACATACTCATCTCTACTGTTATTTAACTCTTCTATATAAGAATGCCCGCTACCTCCGTTTCTAAGCATCTTAAGGAGGACAGAGATCTTCAAATGTCATGTGTTCCTTCTACCCTTTTTCCCTCTACCACACACTATACAGTTCACTATGTATACGGTATGTGCTCAGTAAATATCCAATGAATTGGAATCTGAACAAGAACCCACCCATCAGTGAGGTTTTAGTTAAAGTAAAAGCAGTGATTCGCTCTGGAGCCAGCTTCCTGCTCATGTTTGACACCAGGATAAAAATAGCCCTATTATTTCCATTTTGGTCCATAGGCAATTGTGGGAAGAGTATCTCATAAGCCGTAGGCAAAACAAATCAAGAAAATCCTCCCTCTCAGCCCTTCTCCCCCCACCCTGTCTGTAAATTTAAAAGCAACAAACCTACTAAGACTCACCATGAGTTTCTGCATTTTAGCATGGTATAAAACATCCTGGTAGTGCTGGGCGCAGTCTGGATCCACATCTTTGATCTTAGCAGTAGGTAAGAGCAGAGTATCTAAAGTTTTCAAAGCATTCCCTTCATCAATAGCTTCATTGATGTACCCTACAGCTACGATTCCTAGGGCAAGAAAAAAAGTTTTCCTCTTAAGTCACAATACATCATAAGTTCTCTAGAATCACCTATAAGAAAGGTGGAGTTAGAAAGGGGGTAGGGAACCCCCTGCACATAAGAAAACCTCTAAGCGCTAATAAGCAGAGCTAAGGCTGCAGGATACAAGGTCAATGTACAAAAGTGTAGAGTATTTCTACACACACTCATTGTACGATGTGAAAATGAAATGGAGGAGAAAATTCCATTTGGAATAGATTCCAATCACAACTACATTGTACCTACTTAAATCATAAACAGGAATAAATTTCACAAAAGAAGCACAAGACATGTACGCTGAAAACCACAAAACACTAATGAAAAAAATTAAAGATGACCTAAATAAATGGAAAAATCATCTCATGTTCATGGATCCAAACAATACTGTTAAGGCGGAAATACTCCTCAAACTGATCAATAGATTCAGGGTAATCCCTATCAAAATCCCAATTGCATTTTTCTTTCAAACAGAAATTGACAAGCTGTATCTAAAATTCACATGTAAATGCAAGGGACCACGAATAACCAACGCAGTGTTGAAAAAAGAACAAAACTGGAGTTCTCTTAACAATTTCAAAACTTACTACAAAGCTACAGTTAATCAATACTGCATGCTGCTGGCATAAGGATAGATGTACGGATCAATGGAGAAGAATTTAGAGTTCAGAAATAAACCCTTACATTTGTGGGCAACTGATTTTTGACAAGGCTGCCAAGACAACTCAACAAGTACAAGTCTTTATAACAAATGGCACTGGGACAACTGGACAGCCACATGCATAAGAATGAAGCTGGACTAGGGGCGCCTGGGTGGCGCAGTCGGTTGAGCGGCCGACTTCAGCCAGGAGTCCAGCTCATGATCCATTAAAGGTCAGGCCAGCGTCGGGCTCTGGGCTGATGGCTCGGAGCCTGGACCTGCTCGGAGCCTGATTCTGTGTCTCCCCTCTCTGCCCCTCCCCGTTCATGCTGTGTTTCTCTGTCCCAAAAATAAAAAAAAAAAAAAAAAAAAACGTTGAAAGAATGAAGCTGGACTCTCTACATCAGAGCCTACACAAAAAAATTACTCAAAATGGATCACAGACTGAAGTGTAAAAGCTTAATCTATGTAACACTTAGATGAAAACATAGGAGGAAATCTTTGTGGCCATGGGTTAGGTGCTAATTTTAATAGTGACACCAGAAACACAACTAAAGAAAAAAAATAAATACACGGGATGTAAAAATGCCAACTTTTATGCTTCAAAGGACACCAGAGAAAGTGAAGGCAATCTATAGAATGGGGGAAAATACTTGCAAATCCTCTATGTGATAAAAGACTTGTACACCTTATACACATGTATAGCAGGTATATAAGGAATTCTTACAACTCAACAATAAGAAAGGAAAACCCAATTTAAAATGGGTAAAGGCCTTGAACACACACTTCTTGAAAGAAGATATACAAATGGCTAATAATCACATGAAAAGATACTCAGTATTAGTTATGAGGAAAATGCAAATCCAAATCACAATGAGATACCACTTCATATCCACTAGGATGGCAATAAAAATAAGACAAACAGTAACAAGTGTGAAGATGTGCTGACACTGGCACTCTCATACATTGCTGGTGGGAACAGAAAATGGTAGTCATAATGGAAAACAAGCAGTTCCTTAAAATACTAAACAAAGAATTACCATCTGATCTAGCAATTCTACTCTTAGGTATATACACTTAAGGGAACCACAGGTTCACATAAAAACTTAGACACTATCCTACTTGTATGAAATATCCACAATGGGAAAATCCACAGAAACAAAGTAGACCAGTGGTTGCGGGTGGGGGGAACGGGAGGACAGGCAAAGGGGAGTGACTCTACAAAGTATCTTCTTGGGGTGATGAAAATGTTATGAATTTAGATAGTGTGATGGTAGTACAACTTTTTAAATCCATAAAAGTCACCATAAAAACAATCAATGGGTCAATTTTATGGTATATAAATTATATCTCAATGAAGGGGTTATAAAATGGGAGGACAACTTTATATACAAGTAGCAGGAGGAATGCTAATTTCTAGTGTAAACCTCACTTAGATAGCAGTGTGAAGGCAATGAGTGACAGAACCACAGAATAACAGAGCTGGAAAAATTTAATGTCGAGATGTACAGAAAAAAAAAAACTGAAATACAAAGAGGTTTGGATAGACATTCTATTCTTTAGATTACGTTACCACTTTGTGAAGGATGCCAAAACAGAGATAGTTCTAAATCAAACAATTCCCTATAGTATCAGTGGAGCGAATTTCCAGGTCCATACAGTCCAATGCTGTCCAATAGAACATTTTGTGATGATGAAAACGTTCTCTGACTGGGCTGTCCAATACACTCCATGTAACTATTAAGCATTTAAAATGTGGCCAGTATGACTGACGAACTTAATTTTAAATTTTATCTAATTTTAATGATTAAAGTAGCTGCACGTAGTTGGGGAGTGTAGATAGGCCTCCTAGAGATTAATAGTCAGACATGTTTTTTAAGATAGTTTTAAGGTTTAGTTATGACTAATTACTATCACAAATTGCTTCTATGAAACCACCTGGTAAAATAACATCTGGAGCCCTAACTCATGGATATGCCAAAAGAATAATAACCGTATCTACCAGCTCAACCTTCTACCATCTCACCGCAGGTTCTTAGGAAATAGACTAGAAGGTCCAGGAAAGAAAAATACAGAGCAAAGTCATGGAACTTGGCAAATTTTTGCAACACCAGCAAAGGGTATCTATTTGGAGGCCCATTCTCCGTACTACCTTATTATTAAAAATAAATTATCAACCAGTCATAAAATACTACAGTATATGCAAGAATATACTTATATATAGTAGACACATGAACAATGTGGGGGTTAGGAGCACCAACACCCAGTGCAGTCAAAAATTCAGGTATAGGGAAGATGGCGGCGTAGGAGGATGCTGGGCTCACCGCGTCCTGCGGATCACTTAGATTCCACCCACACCTGCCTAAATAACCCAGAAAATCGCCAGAAGACTAGCAGAACGGATTCTCCGGAGGCAAGCGTAGACAAGAGGCCCACGGAAGAGGGTAGGAAGGGCGGAGAGGCGGTGCGTGCTCCACGGACTGGTGGGAGGGAGCCGGGACGGAGGGGCAGCCCGCCGGCAAAGGAGAGCTCGAGTCTGGCTTGAAAAGCGGAGGGGCTGGACTGCGTGGGTTCTGACAGCCAGCAGGACTTAACATCTGAAAGGTTTTAAGTTAACAGCTCTGCTCGGAGAACGGGAGGGCTGGAGGGCAACGGGAGGGAGAGTTGTTGAGCCCCAGACGACAGAGCGCAGCTTGGCGGGAAACAAAGGCGCTCGCCAGCACCATCTCCCTCGCCCATCCCCCAGCCAAAACCCCAAGGGAACCTGTTCCTGTCAGGGAACTTGCTTGCACCCTGCAAACACTGAATGCTGTGCTTCTGAGAATCCATCCCTCCGGCAGGTCTGACTCCCTCCCCAAGCGGATCTCCGAAGGAAAAGCGAGCTGAGCCTGCCCCTCCTGCCCCTGTGCACCTTGCCCATCCACCCCAGCTAATACGCCAGATCCCCAGCGCTACAAGTCTGGCAGTGTGCAAGTACCCCAGACAGGGGCCACACCACCCCACAGTGAATCCTGCCCCTAGGAGAGGGGAAGAGAAGGTACACACCAGTTTGACTGTGGCCCCAGCGGTGGGCTGGGGGCAGACATCGGGTCAGACTGCAGCCCCGCCCACCAACGCAAGTTATTCAAGACAGCACA